GCCCTCCATTGGTCTGGCACTTGGCTCCAATTTATTCTGCAGCACAATGGAAAGCAGGCACTCCATTGCAAGAACAATCCTAGAAAAGAGGCAGCCAAAAAAAAACTAGTGATGCCTTGTTTGTTGGTTATTGTCGCTGCTGTATCCTTCATTATCCTTCCTCCTTTTCTGGCAGTAAGCTCATGGTCCATTGTAGCTCTGGACAGTCTATGTGCCCTCTTTAGGTTACAGATACCTGAACCACTGATCACAGTTCACAATGCTGTGGAGCACTCACAAGTGAAGGAATATATAGACAATGTCTACAGACAACAAGAAAACTACACAAAAAATAAGAAAAGCCTGGTTTGATTACAAGAGAAATGATGCTAAAGAGGTTTAGAAGCAGAAGAGTACATATGTGATGGTATTCATCAATTACACATTCACTTAAGACAAATGGCAGTAAAAAAAGTATGTGAGGTGTGTTGGACAATAATAGGTCAAGTATGCTTCCTGGATTCACATTGTTTTTTAATGCACATGTGCTTCCATTAAAGTGTGCCTGTGCCCAGACTGTGGACATGTAATTATATATTCTTAAAAACCAGTAAAATAGCTTTAAAACCACTCTGACCAGTCTAGCTGCTTGAACTGTGATACAACTCATTCTCAAAGATCCTCATAGATCACAACCAAGGCTCTAAGACCTTGTTCAAAGTGGCATTGACAAACCTGCAAGTATATGTGTTTAAAGGACATTTCTACATGCATATTGATTACATTCATAGTGTGTTTACCCACATTTCTGTTTTGCTTTGCTTAGAGAAAATAGTATTCTGAATGTTCATAGCAGATTCTCTTAACAAGCCTAAACGCATGTAAACATGTGAAATCGGAAATACATGTAAACGCAGGAAAACTTTATTTGGGAAACAAAGTTTGTTTATACTTTACATATAATTTTTTCCTGTGATTAATTAACCTAAGCACAGGAGGCTAGTGTGAATGTTGCCTTAGATTGGGGTTTAGACATTTTCTAGCAGTATAGACACATATGCTGTGTGTACACATTTCAAAGCTGACAGGTTGCCATGATTTTGTTGCAATAGAAAGTAATAGAAAAAACCCCTAAAATGTCAGTGCCTCTGTTGCGAAATCTGAAGATGAATTTCTCCACAATGCCCTAAGCTACATAGGTGAATGAGGAATTCTTTTGAAGTGCTTTTACTGCTTGTTCACTTTAAGAATGTATGCTGTATTTGTTCCAGAGTCCCGGTATTTACTTCACTTTGGCTATAGCTTCTAAGTCTGTGCCCAAAGGATACTAAATGTTACACAGTATGTAATGCTATGCCAATATTTATTGGAAATGTGATGGCAGAAAACAAGGTATAAACTGTATTTCTAGATCTGTATTCTGGAGTTTGGTAAATGCAAGTGCCAAGTAGTTTGGTACCTAATGTGTATTTGTTTTTTTTCTAGTCACCCTGCATTTACACTCCATTGTACATTCCTCCTTCAGCTAAGATCGTGTGTGTGTGTGTGTGTATTTTTTTTTTTTTTTTTAAATTTGTGACAGCAGCCTGACTCAGGGAAACTCAATAAAGCATTTACATCAATTTTCTGGCAGTATGGGCCCTCTAAAATGGACTGTGCCAGATTAAAAAATTCCTGCTGTCAGTTTTAGTAGCTTTACTGAAACGTGTGACAGATTGGGGTAGTTCTTAATAGTGCCACTTTTGCAAAATAGGGTTGCGGCTGCATTAAGTACACAAGCAGTTACCTCTAGTTCACAGAGAATGAAAGTAGAGGTAAGAAATACGAACTCTAAATTGGTATACAGAGACAGGCAGAATACCTGTCTCTGTAAACTGTGTAACAAACCAGCATGTTTGCCGCCTCTACCCCCTCCCCTTTCCACTGGTCATTGGCTGTCAAGAATGCTGTTGGTTGCACAGGTTCCGTCAGGTCCACTCTCTCCTTGTAATTGACAGCAGTTACAGGGGAATTATATAGCCAATAGCAGGCTGTGTACTAGCTATAGAATCAGCACGCAAGGGGAGTGGAACTGATGGGTAAATAGTGTTACAGAATTCCCATCAAGCTCTACCGAGAATATGTCCTCACTATGCATAAAGAGTTGCCCTGGCAAGCCTGACACCCACAATAATTAGTGTCACAATTAGAAGTCTTGGCTTTTCTCTTGAAAAATGAAGGTTAAAAAAAGTTCTCTTTTTACAGTTGCAAGAAAAAGTATGTGAACCCCTTGGGATTACATGGAGTTATGCATGAATTGGGCATAAAATGTGCTCTAAACGTCATCTAAGTCACATCAATAGAAGAACACAGTCTGCTGAACATAATACTACACAAACATTAGATGTTGCCATGGTTTAATTGCACATAACATGTAAACATTCACAGTGCAGGGAGGAAAAAGTATGTGAGGCCCTAGCTTAATGACTTCTCCTAGAGCCAATTGGAGCCAGGAGTGAGCCAACCTTGACTCCAATCAGTGTGATGATATTGGATGTGTTGCTGACAGCTGTCCTGCCCTTAAAAAACACACACCTGTTTTGGGTTTACTGGTTTCAAGAAGCACGGTCTGATGTGAACCATGCCTCGCAGAAAAGAGCTCTCAGAAGACCTATGATCAAGAATTGTTGACTTGCAGAAGCTGGAAAGGGTTACAAAAGTATCTGCAAAAGCCTTGATGTTCATGTGTCCACGGTAAGACAGACTGTCTACAAATGGAGAAAGTTGAGCACTGTTGCTACTCTCCCTAGGCGTGGTCGTCCTGTAAAAATGACTGCAAGAGCACAGCGCAGAATACTGCATGAGGTAAAGAAGAATCCCAGAGTGTCAGCTAAAGACCTACAGAAATCTCTGGCACATGCTAACATTTTTGTTGACACATCTACAATAAGGAAAACATTAAACAAGAATGGAGTACATGGGAGGACACCACGGAGGAAGCCATTGCTGTCCAAAAAGAATATTGCAGCACGTTTGAAGTTTGCAAAAGAGCACCTGGATGTTCCACAGCACTACTGGCAAAATATACTGTGGACAGATGAAACCAAGATTGAGTTGCTTGGGAAGAACACGCAACACTATGTGTGGAGAAAAAAAGGCACAGCACACCAACATCAAAACCTCATCCCCACTGTAAAACATGGCGGAGGGAGCATCATGGTTTGGGGCTGCTTTGTTGCCTCAGGGTCTGGACGGATTGTTGTCATTGATGGGAAAATGAACTCCAGAGTTTATCAAGACATTTTGCAGGAAAACGTACGACCATCTGTCCGCCGCCTATCAGTGTCATGTATCAGTGCTGCCTTTCAGTGCCCATCAGTGATGCCTGTCAATGCCTATCAGTGCAACCTACCAGTGCCCTCATCATCAGTGCCACCTATCAGTGTCCATCAGTGCAGCCTATCAGTGCAGCCTATCAGTGCCCATCACTGCAGCCTCATTAGCGCACATCAGTGAAGGAGAAAAATCACTTATTTACAAAATTGTATAACAAAAACTAAGAAAAAAACTTTTTTTTTTCAAAATTCAGTGGTTTTTGGTTTGTTTAAGAAAAAATAAAAATCCCAGAGGTTATTAAATACCACCAAAAGAAAGCTCTGTCTCAAAAAAATGATAAAAATTTCATATGGGTACAGTGTTGCATGACCGCGCAATTGTCATTCAAAGTGTGACAGCGCTGAAAGCTGGAAATTGGCCTGGGCAGGAAGGGGGTATAAGTGCCCTGTAGGCTAGTGGTTAAGCAGAAGTACGATGGAAAAAAGCTAGGGGAGCTGTCAAACTGAATTATCAAGTTAGTACCCCTTCAATTGGTGAGCTACATTTTCCTAGGGCGACTCAACACAGCTTTTCTTCAGAAATGACAGGTACTACTTATCTTTACAGACAGATCAAGCCAGACAGGGAGTGGGTTAAAGTCACCATGGACACTGGCAATCAGAAAATGTGTGGAAATAATATCCACTCCAATGCTCACCTCTTTCTGAATTTGTCCACTCATTAAAAGTCATGAATGAGGTTCTACAAGCTCTCTACTACCCTTTAATTTGTAGTGATTGACCCTCTTATGTAATCAAATACATTTCTCCCTCTTTCCTCCTTAGTTATCACTCTTTTTGATCATCTCAAATTGACACTTGCAAAAAAATGTATTATTGAAACTACCAAAGTGTCATATTGCACTTAACCTTTCACCCAACCTCTCAACGATTGCATTTGTTACTTTGAAAAGACAGTATAAGGGCTCTTTCATGCGTAGCTGCTCTGCTCCAATCAGGAGCTGAATGGCACGGGTGTAGGTTTTTTTTACATCCATGTCTGTTTAGGTCATGCCTGACGGACACGGTCGGACTCAAGATGGCTCTATGGGCAGCTGAATGTAAGCAGACATATGTCAATTTACATCACGCCTCCAATCCATCATAGTCAGGTGTGCAAAAAATGGAAAAAGGACACAGTCTTTTTCTGTTTTTTCCTGGACCTGGACAGACTTGTAGGTAGGCAGGTGTAAACAGACACAAGTCTGTTTATATCAGCCTACCCATAGAAATGCATGGAGCTTCTGATCAGGTCCACTTGAAAAAGTGACAGGCGGACCCGAACAGAAAGCCTGTGTGAAAGGGATCTAAAAGAAAAGTAGTTATAAATAAGCAATCATTTAATGTGTAATAGGTCTTTGAGGTCCACAGGAGGGGTTTGTCCTTTCACCTATATATCGTATTTTTCGCTCCTTAAGACGTACTTTTTCCACTGCCGCCGTGTCAGAATACCGGGCCGGCCGCTCGTCTCTTCTCTGCAGCAGGACCTTACCTGTTCCTCGGTCCAGCACTGAGAAGGCTTCATGCGCCGGCAACTATAGTGTGGGTACCCGGCTGTGACAGCCGGGTGCCCAGTGCACATGCGCGAGAAGCGCTGCGCTTTGTGAATAGTACGGCGTCTGCTGGGACACGACAGGTTCCAGAAGACACCGGACCAATCACAAAGCACAGTGCTTCTCGCGCATGTGCAGTGGGCACCCGGCTGTCAGCCGGGTGCCCACACTAAAGGGAGGACAACTCCGCGGAAGTGGGAGCAGGTACCTGTCAAATTCAGGTACCCGCTTCCCCTTCCTCCCCAAAGATCTGTATTCTCTTAGTCATCCCCTGTACTGTCTGCAGTCTCTTGGTCATCCCCTGTACTGTCTGCAGTCTCTTGGTCATCCCCTGTACTGTCTGCAGTCTCTTGGTCATCCCCTGTACTGTCTGCAGTCTCTTGGTCATCCCTGTACTGTCTGCAGTCTCTGGTCATCTCCGGTACTGTGTCCGCAGTCTCTGGTCATCTCCTGTAGTACGTCCGCAGTCTCTGGTCATCTCCTGTACTGTGTCCGCAGTCTCTTGGTCATCCCCTGTACTGTGTCCGCAGTCTCTGGTCATCCCCTGTACTGTGTCCGCAGTCTCTGGTCATCTCCTGTACTGTGTCCGTAGTCTCTGGTCATCTCCTGTACTGTGTCCGTAGTCTCTGGTCATCTCCTGTACTGTGTTCGCAGTCTTTGGTCATCTCCTGTACTGTCCGCAGTCTCTGGTCATCTCCTGTACTCTCCGCAGTCTCTGGTCATCTCCTGTACTCTCCGCAGTCTCTGGTCATCCCCTGTACTATGTCTGCACTCTCTTGGTCATCCCCTATACTGTCCGCAGTCTCTGGTCATCTCCTGTACTGTGTCCGCAGTCTCTGGTCATCTCCTGTAGTACGTCCGCAGTCTCTGGTCATCTCCTGTACTACGTCCGCAGTCTCTTGGTCATTCCCTATACTGTCCGCAGTCTCTGGTCATCTCCGGTACTGTGTCCGCAGTCTCTGGTCATCTCCTGTAGTACGTCCGCAGTCTCTGGTCATCTCCTGTAGTACGTCCGCAGTCTCTGGTCATCTCCTGTAGTACGTCCGCAGTCTCTGGTCATCTCCTGTAGTACGTCCAGTCTCTGGTCATCTCCTGTACTATGTCTGCAGTCTCTGGTCATTTCCTGTACTGTGTCTGCAGTCCATTAGTTCAGAATATTTTTTTTCTTGTTTTCCGCCTCTAAAATCTAGGTGCATCCTATGGTCAGGTGCGTCTTATGGAGCGCAAAATACGGTAATTTGTTCTCAAAAGTGTCTATCTTCCTCATCCAAAAGTTTGGGAGGTTACCGCCCCTTGTAAATGCAGATGAAATGCAGTGCAGTAAGATACAGCTCATCTGATCTTGGCAGGTATTCTTGGTATTTAGAATGTTTGCACAAGTAATTCGTACACCCAGCTGATATCTGAATTTACTTTTATCGCTCATTTAGCAAAGGTCTTACAAGCCAAAGATCTTTGTTGTCATATAAAGATTATACAAAAAGCGGCTCTGCTGCTTTCCCTCAGTATACTAAGCCAAAGATGGATCGCAATTCAGCCAGTGCAGCAGAGACAGGATTCCCTTCCTCTACAGAAGTCGATCATTTGATTGACTTTTGTCGAAGGGACATCCTGTACACTTATGCTGATCAGCAGCTGCAGCCGCTGATCATTTATTTCTGACAGCAGCAAGTCCTGCTCTCAGATAATGTTTCGGCAAGAGAATTCTCCCATTTACCTGACTTGTGTGGATGGAGAAATCAAAAAAAAAAAAAAAAAAAAAAAGTGATTCCCATGTTTATAGCCAGCTTTAGTGTCAAATAAATTGTACCCACTAATAAACGGTAGGTATCCCCACTTGTTCATAATACAGGCAAAATGTGTGTTTGATACCTGTACAAATAAGCCAGAAGGGAACCAAAAGAGAAGGAAAGGTTCCCAAGTACAAGTGATGAGAGGAAGTAAAAGGGCTGCAAAGAATCCTACAAATGGCCAACCTGCTGCTTGTCATCTTCATCTTCACCTTCTGGATCCTGACATGCTGTCTGTGGGAAAAGAACCAGCTTAGATTCAAGATGCAGATGTAGATACTTATATAATCAGTAGGTTAAGGAATTACCTTGCTCTGTAGAACTGCCTTGATGACAGCACACAGTTTCTCCAGCTGTTCGGGTCCTCTCACACATGGGTCCTTCACATCTTTTAGTAAATTGTTCAAAGACTCTAGAACAATCATTACCACTTCACGCTCTTTATCATGTACTGCCCCGTGCAGACAGGCAGGGATGAGAACATCCAAGAGAAGAAGCAGCGCTGCTGGATGGAATAGAGAATATGTGAGAGTGGAACGGAAAACATAGGCTGAATAAAGCGATTCTAAAGCTAAAACAGTCTATGGTAAAGCATTCTATGCAATAAAGAACATTTTGCCACTTGATGTGCCCCCCCCCCCCCCACTTTCCCGAGTCCTATATTGATTCAGTGCTGTGCCTGGCTGCAGTTCCTCACCCCTGACTTTCTCTTCTGACAGGAGGATCAGGCAGCAGTGGGAGCCATTGGCTCCTGCTGCTGTCAGTTAAATCCTGTGAGCAGGAGTAAGGACGAGCTGTGCTGTGTGTATCCATAGAGCACAAATGAGTGCCTCCATAGCCAGCAGAACAGAAGAGGAGACGGGCAACTACATTATTGAAAGGAAACACATTTAACAGCAGTTTGCATTTTTCAGCATACCTCTCGATTAAGTTACTTGGTTACATGCACATGGGCTGTTTGGCATGTCAGCATTAAAATGGCTATACAGGTTCAGGTTTTTATTTTTTCAATTACCTGTCATACTTATCTGCTCTGTGCAATGGTTCTGCACAGGGTAGCCCTGATCCTCCTCTTCTCAGATCCCCCGCAGATGCTTCTGACCCCCTCAACCTGTTGAGTGCCCCCAGAGCAAGCTGCTTACTCGGGAACACTTGTGCGTGCTTGCTCCTGAGCCACCTCTGTATGCCTATGGAACACAGAGCATGGCTCAGCCCCGCCCCCTCCTCACAGGCTGTGACTGACAGCAGCGGGAGCCAATGGCTCCCACTGCTGTGTTGCAGCCAATAGGGAGGGAGAGAGACCCGGGAGAGCCTTGGCTCTCTTGCACATCGCTGGATCGGGATCAGACTCAAGTAAGTATTAGGGGTGCTGGGGGGGGGGGGGGGGGGGGGAGCTACACATTGAAGGTTTTTACCTTCATGCATAGAATGCATGAAGGTAGAAACCCTTCAGTCTTCACAACCACTTTAAATCTCAGAGTTTCCAAGTGCGTGGTTGGCACAGGTGCACGATCAAGCCCTGCTGCCAGCAGCCTACCAAAACCTGACATGCAGAAATATGTGGCAACTAGATGCTGTTCCATGCGGTACTTGTGTTTCATGCATTTGGGACATATGTCTCTTGTAACATTTGGCCCTAAATGCGAGTACTGCTCAGTACCGCATTCAGGTGCCATGTATTTCAACACGTCATAGACTTTGACAGGCTTGTCAAAGCTAGATGCTGCAGCTGGCTTCCTGGACTCAAAACCAATGAGATTTAATGCCAATGGGCCAAACTGTCCACATGTATGAGGCCCTATACATGGTGCTTGCCCAGCACTGCCCACCTCACCTGCAGCATTGGATTCATTAGGGTTCTTCTGGCACACCAGATTCATGGAACGTGCAAATTTTCCCAAAGCCTCATAAGCTGCCTTACGGACGCTAGAATGCGGGGACTATGGACATAAAAGGCAGTGACTCACAATTAAACCCAAAACAGAGCTGTTGAGCATTATAGAAAAAAAAAAGTGTTGAAGCACAGTAATAAAATGTGAATACAAATGAACTGCTCTAAAAAGTCTAAGATAACAATAGAAGAACATGCACTACTTGTTGCCTGCCTGTCTTAGCAATCAATCAATCTCTGTGTAGCCCTTTGGCCCCTAGACCTAATAAACTTTTATATACGTCATGGTTAAGCCCTGTCCCATAAACTGACAAATTGCACAACTTCAATGCACGGTGAAGGCTCTTGCATTTAACAGAATGGGAATAGGGTTTGGGGACATAAAGCAAGCAAACATCAAGGTCCCATGTAAAGCCTGGGCCTAGGATCTAAGAGGCTCCAAAGGGACATGGGAATCGCTTTCAAGACGAACACAGATACCACAATAACATGCATGCAACTCAGCACTGTCGTTACCTTAGAATATTTTAGGTAAGATCAGCTTTACTTGAAGGGAGCACACAAAACAGTGATGTGCACTTATTATTATATTATTATACAGTATTTATAAAGCGCCAATAGTTCACTCAGCGCTGTACATTACACTTATAGACAAAAAACAGATTTCACCAGTATGGGCCAGCCTGCTCAGACTAATTTCTCTGAAACCTCTACAACAGTTAAAAAAGTAGGACGTGATTCAGAAAAAAAAGATTAAAAAAAAAAATGAAAGGGCCTAATATATATTGTTTTCTACAGTATATTGTAGCTTTTATGTTACACAGGGAATAGTATTGTAGAAGGATGTCCTTTATCACACTAACTGTGGATCTTGACTCAGATGTAGTGTGAACACCTCATATTTTTAGAACAGTGTGTGTTCAAGGGGAACATTCACAGTTTGCTATTCTGCATTTCATCACACTCACCTGGACATTAGATATTGGGGGGAAATTTTAATTTATATGTAGAACCCAGGCAAGACTTACTATTACCATGTTACCACACCACAAGTTGGTGTTCTGATGATCCAAGTAGAAAGCAGTGCTGGTATTACATGCTTCTGCTATTGAGGCAATATCTGGTGACTTTTACAGTTTAGTGCTGCTCAGCACTTTTAAAATGTGGGTGTATTTTTACTTGAGGCTTTGATCTAATGATGATGCAAACTAAATTAAAGGAGTACAGTCTTCTGAAACTTTGGGAGATTCCAAACCCATTTGTTACTACTGTTAGAAATGATTGTATGTTAGCATTGTGACCTACCTATAATCTGAAGGACGTAACATCTAGTGAGTAATATTCCCACAGGTGGAGGACTCACACAGTGTGCACTGACACACATCTGGATACATCTGAAATGTGGTTATCCATCACACGTTTTATTTTTACTGTGGACTTTTTTTCCCACTAAGTGCATTTCCTTCTTGGACATTTAAAAGGACTTCTTGTTATTATTATACAGGATTTATATAGCGCCAACAGTTTGCTCAGCGCTTTACAATATAAAATGGGAGACAATACAGCAACAATACAAAAGGGTTAGGAGGTCCCTGCTCCTTGGAGCTTACAATCTAAGACACTGAATATGTTAAGCACTGCATTTTATTTTTTTTACCTTTTACCTTTTATTATCTTCACACCCCATCTGCTGTAAACAACTGAATCTAATAATTTGGTGCCCAATATCAGATATTATAAAGAGTAACTCCACTTTTGTTGAGAAAAAAAAAAAACATTCCCCTCTGGGTGATTTATGTACATTGCAGGAATTGTAATACACTTTGTTGCAGCTTCCTACCTTTCGTTATTCTGAAGAAGTAGCTGTTTGTCCATGTGCAAAGTGAATCTGAATGGGAGTGAATGTATAATTATCACTAAACTGCTGCATTTTCAGGGTTCTGGTTAGAAAAGTGGCCACGGTCTGCATCTCTTTAGTTGCAATTTCCCTTTGGGAATATCTCATCAAGAATTACATTTTTGTTTCAGGGGAGGACCAAAATCTGACTTGTGCAGATTTATTGGAAAAAAGTAAGGCAATCACACAAGCAGGAAATGACATTTCTGGGGGATATTCTGTACACCATTTGCATACAGAACGCCTCCAGGTTGCCATATTGCATTATAGATTGAAAAGGAAAGGTCATTTTTTAATAACATTCAGTTGCAGTATGACTTGTTGTGCTTAAATATACACTGTTATTTCTATTTATTTATTTATTTATTTTTTCCCTACGAAAGTGAAGTTACCATTTAAACATCCTCTTAAACCTCAAAACCTATGATACACATTCACAATTTAATGTGTTTCAAAGAATATCATAAAAAGCAGACCTCATAGAATTTCTCATCTCTGAACAGCTACAACCACATCATATCAGTTAATAATACACAATATACATTTATGAAATTCAGCAAAGAATCTAGTCCACAAGAGTAGTTGGAATGTAACTGCCTCAACATTTAGGCCCCATTCACAGAGGTGTACTAAACAGACAATGTGCGTTCAGTGCCATACACCCACAAGGCTGTCAAACAGAGCAGCAGCTGTGTCTATTCACCTGCAGCATCTCAATTGAAATAAATGGGACTGCCTGCATGGGGACACATGAAGCACCTGTGCATCCCCTTGCAGGCACACAGGGCCATTGCATGGGCATATGCTATAGTAACTCTTGTGAACAAGGCCTTCTAGAACTCTGCTCAAGGTTTTTGTTCCCTCTAGCAGGACAAGTTTGCCTACAAGGAAAACAAAAGTGTATCTAAACCCAAAAACAAAAATGTAATTTATTGCAGCAAACAAGTTTTTTGATGTGGTGGCTGTATTAATTTCTTCAGGCATTTTTACATTTATTTTCACCTAGAGAATCTGCCAATAAACACACTTCCTGTCCCAGAGTGACAATGCTCACACCCCCATATTATATTTATAGAAGTGTTGTCATCCAAGGACATAACTACAGAACACCTGTCAGGTGTTCTGTAGTTCACAGAGAGAGCTGGGACCGATGATAGCTTATAATAGTCAACACAGTCAAGATCATAATTTTCGGTGGATCAACTGACATTTTTTCACCTAAGAATAGAAATACCAAAAGGCTTTCAACTGTATATTTATCAGACCAAAACGGGAGCAAATAAGAGAAGTTTATTGTTAGGATTTACATACACCTTGATCAGAGTAATTCCATTTTAGCAGAATTGAAAATTAAATTCCCTTTTTGCCCTTACTTCCTAAGTTTTCACAATAAAACTACTGCATCCCTCTTAACTCCATTTCTCCAGGACAGTGGCTAACATTCCTGTACCTCTGCAATACAGCTGTCAGAGTCCAGCATTGCAAGGGGATTCCTTCCCTAATATTAAAAGTGATTGTAAAAGCTAAATTTTTTTTTTAATAAAAAAATAGTATACACACCCGTTTTGTTCAATAGTATTGCATAAAGCAGTCCCTTACCTCCTGTTGTGGAGTATTCCCGCCAGCGCTGCATTGATAGAGGACTCAGGAGGGTGTTAAGGGAAAAGGGGGGCACAAAAACTGGTAAAACATTTTTTTAACCTTAATACAGGGATTGCATTAAGGTAAAAAATTTTTAACTTTAGAACTACATTAATCTTTTAGATCCTCATATTATAGTCACCTCTTTCATATTACAGCTGCAAGCTACCCATAAAATCGGTATGATTGCCAAACCTTTACCAGTTTATGGCTATGGATTGCTGAACTCCTTGCCAACACTGAAGCAGAAATTAGATGGCTGCACAGATTTTACAATAACATGGTGAGACTTGTTACTGCTATAGCTAAAGCAAACTCAATTAACAGCAACATACTTCATGTGTATTCAAAATGGATAATTGTATTTCCCTTTAGAGGCAATGGAGCAGGAGTGTATAGAGCGGAAGACCTGAGGCTGTTCGATAACACGTTTCAAATCAGTGCAGTATGGTGGTTGAGATTTGTGTGGACCACTCCACGTGCTGAAAAGTAGCGCCAGCTTGTCTCTTCGCTAACACAATAAAAATATAGGCAATGCTTTAAAACCTTCCATCCCATTTGATTATCATTTCACCAGGCAAGAGATGATCTACTGACATTTCTTTCCATACACAGATTGTAGCATATCTGCACCAGAAATGAATATGCAGAACAACAATCTAAATTAACACAGGGTAATCTTTACTAGACTAAAGTTAACAACAACATATTTTTGGGGAAAACATATATGAACTCTGCTAAGGGAAAATGCATTCCTTACCTCTATATGTTTAAATACTTCCTGGAAGCATGAGTCAAGATAAGGGAAAAATGAAGAGCTGAAGGAAAAATTGAAAGCAAACGGTGAAATAAAAAAATAAAATAAATAAAAAGTAGCCACATAAATAGCAATTCAGGAACGTTAGCCAGGGAAATGAAAAGGTAGAAAATTAAGAAATAAGAATTGAATATAAAAAAAGTGAGGAAAAATGTATGATTCAGCAAAATATAAAGACAAAACAAGACAAAGTGATATGGAAGGAAAACAGAAAACATAAATATTACCACAACTTATTTTAGGGGAAAGAGAGAGACAAGGAGAATGAAGTAGTAACTGAAACAGAGAATGCATATATATTACCTGGCATTTAGTGCAATCACACCAAGCGAGCTGCATGCCTCTTCCTTCTCATCCACATAAGCATTTTCTACACTGAACCTGTAAAAGAACAATGACCCATTTCATGTCAATTAAGTATTTTTGTATTCACTCTAAAACCTTTTTCTTGGTATCCATTGAGGGACACAGGAAATCTTCGAGTTGGAGAATTGGATGTTGGCAAAGAAAAACTGTAGCCCAACCCAGATCTCCTTCTACCAACATGCCTCATTTTTGTAGCAAGCTGTATCAACAGCATAATCACAAACACAAAGGGGTGGGACCTGTGTCCATCAATGTACAGCAAAAAAATATAAATTTTACAGCGAAATCAAAATATCTGTTTTCCTTTTTGTCAATTGAAGGACACAAGAGTACTTAAAGCTGAGCCCTTGGGTAAACAAATATAGTCTGGATACAAGAAGCCTGTGTATCCTCATAGGAATCATGGTGTGCTTTGTGTAATTCTTCCAGATTTATGCAGTATTCTGGTGTAAAATGTTGCCTCTTTGCAGGAGTTTCTCTAAGAAAGACCAGTCACTGCTGATCTTTCCCCTTATGGAGGATGACTGGTCTTGTGTCCACCCCCTCCTATAGTTCTCTGCAGGCACCATGTAGTGGATGGGCCTGCTAGGTCCCTGCCACCACTCTGCTCTATGCACAGGCTATGTACAGCACAATGATGAGCTACTTTTTCAAGGTAATATCTAGATTTTCAAAGGCACTTGTTGCACACACAATGAGTAGATATAATTTGTAACTCTTAAGGAACATATTTATATGGAAGTTTTTGTGCCTAGGGTTCAGCTTTAAAACTTTGGAACATCCATAGGCAGAGATGTGGGCAACAGGGCAAATAAATACTAATAGCATAAGAATAAACAGCAGATGTGGGGAAAGCCTGCAGTCAGTCTAAAGGACCCTAGACATGAATCTGGCAGCAAAATGAGGCCTGAACATCCACCTGGTAGAATTTAGAGAATGTAGGAAGTCCAGGTGGTAGCCTTGCAGACCTGGGAAACAGTAGCGTCATGCTGAAAACCCCAAATGTCATGGACAGATCTGGTAGCTTTTGTAAACTGACAGGAAAGAATGGAACTCGATTTTTGAGACCAAAGGCTTAAAAAATGGTCTGTCTAGGTGTCTGAGCAACCATGGATGCTGGACCCTTATATAGACCATCTAGAATGACAAAAAAGGAACTCAGTCTTTGTGAAGCCTGAACCACATGTAAACAATAGAGAGAAATATGCTTTTGATGAACTGGAACCAGAGAGAGACAGAGAAACAATGTCCTGGTGGTGGTGAAAGGCCAAAACTACTTTAGGTAGGAAGGGTCCACCATCCATGGTGGCTCAGAGAGACCATTATTTAAGCTTTGAACTCAAAAATCAGATTCCACTCTTCTGTCAAAGTAAATTTTACCAGATCAGAAAGGGTTCTTTGCAGGATAAAGCTGCCAGTTAAGACTTCTCACACGGGTGAATGCTAAAAACACACCACCTTCTTTTTTTTAGAGTAAAGAGGGGAATGTCTCTAATAGGCTCAAATGAAGTGCTGAGAGAAAAAAAAAATGCACATACCACGGTGTAAAAGGGGAATGAAAAGGGGGAAATGCACAAGACTTTCTGAACAACAGTCTTAAATTAAGGAATGAGTGGTAAACAGTCTCAATTAAAATTGCAAGAGTGGAGATCCAACCATTAGTGGTGCTGAGAGCCAAATGCTGGTTCTGACCCAGCTGTAGGGAGGAGAAAATACATTGCACAAAGAAATTCCTAGGGTGGAAGCACCTAGACTCACTCCATGAAAAATATGCCTTCTACGGATGATGACAGACCTAGTAAGAAGTACACGTCCTAGCTTCTAACATCGTGGGAGTATAGGATTTAGAGATGCCACATCTTTCAGAACCTAGACTTCAACAGGAATGCTGTTAAAGCCAGTGACTGCGAAGAAGAATGGCAGACCAGTCCTTGAGACATAAGATTTGAATAGTTTAGAAGAGCTCACAAAGCATCCTCCAGGAATCTTACTAGGATGGAATGCCACATCTGCCTGGGTCAGTCAGGATGTCATCCACCTTGAGTGCCCAGGACTCCTTAGCCACAAAAGATGAATAATTAATGACTTCTCCATTTCCAGAGCTGGATTCTTAAGCCACCAAACTAAGGATACCCTGGTTCTCAGTGCCAAATGAATCAAATCTAAAGGGACTGGATTGACTTGTCCCACAAAGTCAGAGTATTGAGTTAAAGATGTTTAAAGTGAAACTGGGCAAATGGGACTACCTTGAATAAGTCTGCCATCATAAACAGATCTCTCATTCAAAATCAAACAGTGAGACGACTCCTGGTCTAAAAAAAAACATGGTAAAATCATATGAAAAAACCCCCCATAAGAAATCCATATAGGTAAAAGGTCTGACTGTGGATGGAGGCATCCATAAATATTTTAGGCCATGCATTTAGTCAAGACAGACAGGTCTTGCCATAGAAGCAACAAGAGATTGCATGTCAGGACCCACCTAGGAAAAGAGGCTTTAAAGAGGGACTCTAACCTATTGTCTACTGGGTCTTTGAACACGGGATTATCCTCCATGTGGGCTTTGAGGGTCTTGTTATGACAAGAAATGACAGGAAGTATCCAGTTCCGTAGGAATCTCTCCTCTGTAGGACCCTGTTGGGGAAAGCATTTCGGAGGATAATAAAATCTTCCTCAGGTGAGGTAGTCCCCATACAGAACAGGCTCTACTAGCAAAGGGACAGGGGAAGCCGTGGCTGAATTAGGTAATAGACACTGAAGCTTATTTTCCTAGTCATAAAGTTCAAGACACAGACACTTTTGTGAACTATGATGAAATTGTTTGTTTTAGGCTTAGTTACAAGGTCCTGTGTTCAAAGCCTTAAACAAATAATACAAGAAAGATTACAAACTACTTATAGGAAATTCATAATGTTAATGCAAACCTGTGATAAAGGAAAAACTCTGAAGGTATTCCATTATCAAAAAGATGCACATACTAAAAAATCTCCTGCTTCCCACCCAATTATCTAGGCACACCAGGGTCTGAATAGTGACTTTCAGCTCCATGATACCCCAACCTAATGTGTAGCTTTCTTTGGAGACTACAGAAAGGGGGCTAGGGTACCAGAGCTCTGTCTTTTAACTAAAATTCAGGTATCCACATACTGAAGGGACCCTTGGCGTGTTCATAAAGTGATCTGTAATGGTAAGTGTGGGCATCAACTTTTTAAAAAAAGTTATGTTGCCCTCACAATATATGCACTAACAGCATTATTTTAAAGTGCAGCTGTATGTTGCCTGCTGAGGGGCAAAGCAAAAGGTTTACATTACTATCTGCACATATTTTCTTTCATTTGCTCAACTTCTTTTGATTCAGCTGCTGAAAGCGGAAAAGTCAGCTGTATGTAGGTCCTGAGTTGCCCCAGTCAGAGATTAAAAAGGGGTGATGATTCTGCCAGCCCTTACATAACAGCAATGCATCAAGCACCGGCACTATCCCATGGAATGAGTCCCATGCCCCTCCATATGTGGAAGTAGAGGGTATTTTCTTCTTTCCTGGCAGTTTAACTGTGCACAGCAGGAAAGGGAAGGAAAGGCAATTATGTGTTAATCACATATAATGCCATTTATAACTCTGCCCCAAATTACATCACCAATCTTGTCTCCAAATATCACCCAAACCATACTCTCTGCTCCTCGCATGACCTCCTGCTCTCTAGCTCCCTCGTCTCCTCCTCCCATGCTCGTCTCCAGGACTTTTCCAGAGCTTCCCCCATCCTCTGGCACTCTCTACCCCAATTTATCAGACTACTCTGCTCACTTTTAGGGGATCTCTGAAAACATATCTCTTCAGGGAAGCCTATTCTGCCCTCAGCTAATAATGGAATCTTCTACTCCTCCTACCAGTCCATCCCCCACAGTTACTACCTTTTGAATCACTAGCCCCTCCCTCTTAGATTGTAAGCTCCAAGGAGCAGGGCCCTCCTAACCCTCTTGTATTGAACTGTATTGTTGCTGTATTGTCTCCCGTTATATTGTAAAGCGCTGAGCAAACTGTTGGCGCTATATAATTCCTAATAATACTAATGTGTTAATGGAGAGGGTGACAATGCACATGTAATTACCCAATGCTTTTCCAATATACTAGATGGACAGTGATATTTTGCTAGAATTCTCTAAATAAAAATATAAATCATTTTATAAATAATAATTGTTGGGCATCATTTGGCAGTACAATAAAAGAAAACCCACAGAATATTATGCAGATTTGTGGATTAGGACCCAGTCACACCTCTGTGCTGTGATAACATGTGTGGTAAAGCATATTATGTGTGTTGGTGCTATTCATTGTAAGTGCAGTGACAAACTACAATGCATCGCCCTGTTAAACAAAAAATGCTGTCTGCTTTATTTTTTGCTCTGTTTTGTTTCAATGGAAACGAATGGGCTACCTTAACACAACGCACATTGTGTGACAAAAATCCTGATGTTAAACATGACTAATCAGGCTGGTGTAAATGGGCTTTAAAGAAAAAAAATGAAAAAACTGCTCCAGAAATGCACCTTTTGTTGAATTTTTGACAGGAGAATTCACAGTATGCTGCAAAACCTGCTTACACATATTTTTAAAAATCTTTAACAACAACAGCAACAATAGAACCATAATGGCAGTAGCTAGTATGTGATCCTGATGCATACCCTGAGTCATTCATCTGTCTCTCCTGAGTTGCAGCAGGCTGAATCAAATTAACCCTGGACTTCATACTCCACAAAGGATGACCAAAGAGGATAGAAAGCTACAGAGATCAAAGTTCACCCTGTTCTTCACCTATTAATAAAAGCCTAGAGGTAATGCCTCTAAAAGGGCAATAAAACACTTACAAACGACAGGGAACATTTTTTTTTTTAACTTTATTGTCCAGAGGGACTGCAATTGAGATAACTTGGCTATAACACACAGCCATATACTACATGGTTACTATGTCTGCTCAGGCACATAGCTAAATCATTAACCAAACAAACCCCTACATACA